TTCTATTAACACATAATTAATTATTCTATTATTTATAAATATTTTATTGTTTGATTCATAACAATTTCCTCTCCCTAGTTAATCATTGTAAGATATAAAATCTGATTATAAAAATGATAAAAAGAAAACAAAGTAATAAAACAATAGAATAAAGAATTGATTTATATAAAATAGAGTCATTAGTAAATTGAGTATGATAAATAAAAATAAAATAAAAAAAGAAGAGAAAGAGTTACATGAAGAAACTTTAAAAAAAAAAGAGTAGAATTAATAGAATTGAAAAATAAGAAGAAATAGAAAAGTATTTTGTTAATACTATTGTTGTTTATAGAATCTTTTTTTCATAACAATAAATAATAAATAAGAAAGAATATAAAGAAAGTGGACATTTCCATCAATAAGAATTTTTGAAATGCCAAAAATAAGTTATGCCTCAAAGTTTTGTGGAATTCTTTGAAAAAGATATTCTTGAGTCATTCACATGACGAGTGAACCATTAAACACATTTAATATATTCAATGTGAATCCAGACCCTAATGAAATTTTATCAAAGAAGAAATTACATGATACAGAAGGAAAAGTCAATTTAATAAAACTATTTAAATATTCAGATTGGATAGATTTGATTTTATTAATCATTGGAATTATAAGTTCAATAGGAAATGGAATAATGCAACCACTCATGATGGTTTTAGTAGGGGATATGGTTGATAATTATAATTATACTTCAGAAAATAATAGTATGATAGATGAAGAAGTTAATCATATGATTGTTGAAGAAGTAAAAGAATCAGTGAATAAAGTAGTTGTGAAGATGGTATATTTTGGAGTAATAAGTATGGTATTAAGTTTTATGAGAACATTTTCATTATTTGTAGTTTCCCAAAGAGAAGGAATTAGAGTAAGAAAATTATATTTTAAGTCATTATTAAGACAAGATGCAACATGGTATGATTTCCAAGAATCAGGAGAATTAACAACAAGAATAGCAACAGATATTAAAAATTTTCAAGATGGAATTGGTCCAAAATTTGGAATGATTTTTCAAATATTCTCAATGACTATTACAGGTTATATTATTGGATTTATTAAATCATGGGATCTTGCATTAGTTGTGTTGGCAACAGTTCCATTATCATGTTTTTCTTTCACAGGTTTTCAAATGGTTGCAATGAAATATGAAACAAAAGCATTAAGTGTGTTTGGAGTAGCTGGTAGTATTGCAGAAGAAACAATAGGAAATATTAGAACAGTTCAATCATTAAATCAAGAACATAAATTTAGTGAAGAATATGAAGAAAAAATAAAAGAAAATGAACATTTTAATGCAATTAAAGGACAATGTTTTGGAATAGGATTTGGTTTTAGTACTTTCTTTACGTATGCTACCTATGCACTTGGAAGTTGGTATAGTAATATTGCTGTTAGAGGAAAAGGAGGAAGTAAAGGAGTATCTGCTGGTGATGTATTAACAGTGTTTTTCACTAATGGATGGCATCTCAAACACTAGTAACAATTACAACACCATTAAACTTATTATTTTCAGCACAAGCATCAGCTTATAAAATATTTACAACAATTGATAGAATACCAGATATTGATTGTCAATCTACAGTTGGTGAATGTCCTAATGAATGTAATGGGAATATTAAATTTGAGGATGTTCAATTTGTTTATCCAACAAGACCATCTCATCAAGTATTAAAAGGACTTGATCTTGAAATTAAGAAAGGAGAAACAATTGCATTAGTTGGAACATCAGGATGTGGGAAATCAACTACTATTCAATTAATTCAAAGAAATTATGATCCAAATAGTGGAAAAATAACAATAGATGGAAAAGATATAAGAGAATTAAATATTAAATGGTTAAGAAATCAAATAGGATTAGTTGGACAAGAACCAATATTATTTGCAGGAACAATTCGAGAAAATATTATACTTGGAACAAGAGAAGGAGAAACATTAAATGAAGAAGAAGATGATTAATGTGCTAAAATGGCAAATGCACATGATTTCATTTCTAAACTCCCAGATGGATATGATACAATAATTGGAGAAAAAGGAGCATTATTATCAGGAGGACAGAAACAAAGAATTGCTATTGCACGTGCATTAATTAGAAAACCATCTATTCTTCTTCTTGATGAAGCTACATCAGCACTTGATACACAAAGTGAAAAAATAGTACAAGAAGCACTTGACAAAGCATCAAAA